ATATCCGATAATTCAACTCAATGAAAATAATTTTATTAGATGAAGTTATTGTATATAATGATAAAATGATATTATGTAAAAAAATATATACATTATTCACTGAATCAAGTTATTATATATATAAATATTATATATAAATGAAATAAATATATAAAAGAATTTATATATAAAAGAAATAAATTAAATTATTAAAATTTAAAATAGAAATATGAAAAATGCGCATTTTAAATAACAATGTCAATCAATATTCTATTCACATTTTATCAGCTAATAACTGAAATTGTATTATTATATGTCATTTTTCATATTTTTACACTGACATGTCTTGAAAATTTTAAAAATATTCTCTTGGAAAAAAAATATTTCTTGTAATATATTTCTTATATTCGTCCTTCGATAACATTTAAATTTAATATAACATTTTGTTATATTATTATAATTAGAAGAGATATAAAAAATAATTTATTTAAATGAAATAAATAATGCTTATAAATAAAATAATGTTTTGTAAAGAAATAAAATATAATAATTTTTTAGCAAAATTATTATATTCATATTTATGTTATAATAAACATATCTTTTTTTAAATGCATCAGTAAAATTTACATGATATTTCCGTTAATGAAAGTTAGTTCTCTTCCGGTTATACAGCATACTGAGTAAGATGGGTAAGTGGTCGATGTTAAAATTATGTTGTTTTTAAAAATCTAAATTTTTATTATTAAATGTATATTGTTCTTATTGATTATTTAATGCTTTTAATTATAATTTTCTTAAGTTATTTAATAAAAAATTCTTAACTAATTTATTTTAAATTATATTGAATACAATATTGCATATATATCTGTAAAATTAATTAAATTTATTATGGAATTAATGCTTTATTTTTTATAATTTATAACATTTCTTATTTTTTTAATGAGAAATATAAACAGTAAATTAAAATTAAAAAAATTAAATAGTATTGAACAAAAATTACCTGTAACCTAACTTTTTATAGGTAAACCGCGTGGTCTTCGTACTGCACGTAAGCATGTAAATCACAGACGTGATCAACGTTGGAACGATAAAGATTATAAAAAAGCTCATTTGGGTACAAGATGGAAGGCTAATCCATTCGGTGGTGCTTCTCATGCAAAGGGTATCGTATTAGAAAAAGTGTATGTATATTTATATTAATATTTTTTTTATTTGAAATATTTTTGTAAATATTTTCATTAAATGTTATTATTTTAGTGGTGTAGAAGCGAAACAGCCGAATTCTGCTATCCGTAAATGCGTACGAGTACAATTAATTAAAAATGGCAAAAAAATTACAGCTTTTGTACCTAGAGATGGCTGTTTAAATAATATTGAGGAAAATGATGAAGTTTTAGTCGCAGGATTTGGTCGTAAAGGTCATGCTGTAGGTGATATTCCAGGAGTTCGATTCAAAGTAGTGAAAGTTGCTAATGTTTCGTTACTTGCACTTTATAAAGAAAAGAAAGAGCGACCTAGATCATAGAACCATTGTCATGTATTTCTAATAAATCTATATAAAAGTTTTTAAAAAAAAGTATATTAGTATATTATTATTATACCTATAAATATTTTATTTTAATGAAATTACATAAAATATAAATTTAAAAATTGATTTAAAGAACACTTCAGAAAATTAGTATTACAAATTAATTTTCCAGCTTAACATTTATAGCTTCTTCAGTATTTCTCACAGTATTTTCAATAATTTCACTTAATGGAGTATTTGATTTCTTTATTTCTTTTGGTATATTGGTCTCCAATATTTCTTTCCTTGCTTGTAGAAACTAAACATTAATTTATTATGGAAATTATAAATATTTTTATAAATTAATGTTAATATTAATAGATATAAAAATATAAACCTGTGTTAAAGAAGAAAAATTTGTATATATATCATTAATATCAGCATCCATGGAATACATATTATTAGTCATAGTTTTTGCATCAAAAATTGATTTGCATGATTCAATTGATAAAAATGTTTCTATAAATTTTTTTTTCTCTTCATTAAATAATAAATCTTGATCAACTTTATTATTTTCCTTATTTTCATCCTATATTTTTTATATTTTGATATATTATTTTAGCATAAAAAATATATAAAAAAATATTCAGGCAAATAAAAATATAAAATTTAAAAGATAATTCTAGAAATTAAAACAAATATAAATGTTCATAGAAAAATATCTATTGAAACTTACTTTTCGTAAATTATAAATAATTCATTTATTTATAATTGAAAAAATATAAATATAAATAATTTATAATTATAAATAAATGAATTATTTATAATTTATCAATTATATAGATGAAGTGAAATAATTTATCTCCTAACATTTTTGTAAATCAATTTTTATATTTGTTTCATTTCAAATATAATTCAAATATTCTGTAGTATTATACAATATATAATGCAATCAACAGAGAAATTATTATAATACAAATTATTAAATTAATTTATAAATTATAGAAATGAATAATGTATTAAAAAAAAATTTGAAAATAAATATATTAAAATTAAATATATGCATATTTACTTGATTTTCTTGAAATCCAAATAAAAAATATGTTAAAAATATTATGATACAATAATATATGTTATATATAATATAAAATATATTTACTTACTGTTTCATAAAAAATCATTTCTTTTTCAGTTATATTCCAATTACATATCACTTCACATGGATCATGTTCTATTAAATATTCTTTGTTTTCAGATTTATAAACTGATGATAATTCTTGATGTTCATTCAAACATTTTTGTAAATTGTCAAAATATTCTATAGATTCAGAATAATTTAATTGGGGTTCAATATTATATGTTAATGTACTTGAATCTTCAATTGTATAAACCTGACATAAAAATATATATATACATATAAGTATATAAATATTATATATAGTAAATATATGATATATAAAGCATAACAATAAATTTTTCAAAAATATTTGAAAAATATTTAAAAAATACATCGAAACATATATAGAATATACAAAAAATCTGAAATATATTGTAAAATATTAAATTTTTCAACATTTTACACATATATATATATATATATATATATATATA